AAGGATTTCAAAATTAAAACAATTAACGATAAAGATAAAATTAAATTGGAAGATAAGCATTTTGTGAAATTTGCTGTTTTGCTAACCTGAACATTTTTTGATGTTTCTGAAACTAAAAACGCGGTTTTTTTAATGAAAGTACAAGTTTTCTGGTTGAATTTTTATATTTTTTTAATGTAAATTTAAAAAAAAATTTAAATAACTCAGTTGCTACATTATTCTTTATTTTTACAAGAAAACAATCGAATTTTAATATATTTTTTTTAACTGTTTATAGTGGAAAACACATTTTTTCTAGCTGTCTTAACTTCTTGTGTAATGAATTTTTAATAAAAGCATATTTTTGTCAAGAAAACAAACTTATTAAAAATTAAAAATATTAAAATTAAATTAAACCCGAAGAAAACCACAATTCGAAAATTTCTGCCACAATTTTTTTATTCAATTTTTAAATTCGATTTTTTAGCACAAGCTGGCACAGCCAACCCTACACCCGAGGCTCCTACACCGCGATAGCCGTGGGGGCTTCCCAGATCGACATCGAGTGTTTAGCCCAACCCCTATTCCTCGACGAGGAGGAAACTAAAGTATTCCAAAACTRAATTTTTTTAATTAATTAATAATTATTTTCCAGCCTGTGGTGTTATTCGCTGGCGAACACACCCACTGCAATTTTTACTCGACGGTTCACGGGGCCTACTTAACAGGTAGAACCGCGGCTCAGACAGTTTTACAAGCAGGGGCCCCCCAGGAAATGGTGCTAGATTGCGAAGAGGACGCCGATTTGAGTTCTTGGGTGCAAGGAATCTGTCTTGAGTAACTTAACTAGACTATTTTAGGAGCGCTTAACTTTTGTTACCATGCTAGTCATTTTTTTAAGATTTGACATTGTTTCATTAAAAAATACACAATTTGTGTTTGTTTTTTTATGACATTCCGGGGACTCGATACAAGAATTCGCCATCGTGGTCGTAATAACAATCATTGAGTTTGTAAATGGAGCTTTTTTTATGCACAGATTTGGGTATAGTGATGAATTCAGGGTAGTTCAAGTGAGACAAGTCTTTTGGTTCTTTTTTGTGGTGTTGGACCCCAGTTTGGTACTTATTTTGGGACAAATCCACCAAATCCTGTTTGATTTCAACTTTTTTTTCTTCTTTCTTCACGTTAGTAATTATGTATTTTTCGTCTTGGTCAATTTCCCCCCCTGATTCGGCCCTTTTGACTAGTTTCATTTGAAGTTGCTCAAGTGTCACATTTTTTGATTTTTTACCACTTGATTTTTTTTCTTTTAATTCTAATTTTTTTTCTTCTTCTGTCTCTCCATGATTGTTTTTTTCATAACTGGTGATAATTTCAGAGAATTCCGTCCTGATTTTCTTCCTAAAAGTCACAACATTGTCTTTTTGTAATTGAAATGTGTTTAAATCGAGTGCCCGATTTGTGAATTTGTTCAAATGTTGGGCTAAATCCTCGGGTAAATCCCCCATTTTGCCGTCTTTGAACAACTTCCAGTTGTTTCGGACCCCAGAGTCGTGGTTTGCGATTTTATCTTGACTTGGTTTCGTCCAGTTTGACTTGACAACTTTCTACAAAATAAAAAAATTAATAAAAAAAATCACCTTGTGATATACTAAACTAATTTCTCACCTTTATGACTTCCGGTAGGGCGGGAAAGCTTTCAGATAAGCGTTCAATCGTCCACTCATTGGGCTCAGTCCCATGCAAAAACCGGATTTGCTCCTTATCATGCCAAGTTAAAAAATTCGGGAACTTTTCTTTGAAATATCTCTGTTTGACAATGTGGTACTTCATTTTTTCCCTCTCAATTTCCAATTCTCTAACGTGTTGTTTATGAGACTTGTGCACTTCCATGAAATCGGTTTCGAAGTCTTCGAAATCTTCAATGTCTTCGGTTTCGTCGAGTTGTAGTAATTCTTTGCGTTTTCGGATTCCTGGGTCGGCGATTTTTCTCGCATGACGAACAAAGTTGATACAACTGCAAGAAGAGGGTGAAATTAGGGCTCTGAGAAATAACATCGTCTTGTATTATCAAGATTATGATGTCAAAATTGAGGTTATGTAAATGTCACTTTCTGACAAGTGTTTGAAAATACGCGCCATATTTTTTACTTCATTTTATATTTGGCAACACCATTGTGAGCAGCATAAAAAATCGATCGAATGGCACTAATTTTTTTGAGGTTTTCAGTAAAAGTATTCAATTCACTTTAAGTCGTAAAAACGTTTGAAATATGGTTTTTTATTCGTAAAATTACACACTGAACACGATGCAACAAGTTAAAATACTCTACGGTGCATAGTTTTTGAAATATTGTAACAATAAGGCTAAAAGCATAAATACTATATCCGATTATGACCAAAAAATCAACATTTTTTTATTCTTATGAAAAAATAGTACTATATAAAATTAACCGGAAAACACGCGTGGAAAAACCGTTTTGACCTAGGATATTTTTGACTTTATCAGAAATTTTCTCGATAACTATTCATCGTAGAGCATAATAATTCATTAAGTTGCGAGGCGGAAGATTTGCAGTGACGTTAAATTGTTTTTTTTTTACATTAATCTCATTTCAAACAATTTATCAACAATAATACCTGTAATGGTGAAACTTGCCTGACTGCATATCTAAACCGCCGGGTCAGTGGAGTGTAAAAGTTGTGGAAAGTATTTGTCAGAAAATGAAAATAATTATCTGGCAAATAGTTTCTTCTTCTTTTGCCGGGTCAAATAATGATAATAAAATAAGTGAAGTGAAGTGTGTCAATTTGTGATTATTACAATAAAAAGAATTTACAAAAAAAAGTCTAAAATAAATCCTGCGCGAATGTGAATTGGTAGCACTGCATTCCCAAAAATTACAACCACCAATCTTAAAGTTACACTTGTTTTTAAGGGGGGGGTGTTGACAAATGTTTATTTTTTTTATTTTGTAAATTGCGGCAAAACTGAGTCTCAATGACATAATATTTTGACCTATACCTATGTAAAATGTTCCGGGGAATGGATTGGCGTCAATTAAACTGCAAAATTCGTAGTAGTTTTGGAGTTATAGTCGGATTTAAATTCTCGATATTTTTGACTTTARCAGAAATTTTCTCGATAACTATTCATCGTAGAGCACTGAAATTTTTAATATATGATAGAAAATTCAATTTTCTATCCAACGGTACGGTAAATATAAGAGGTTATCTCTAATAAGTCCGGAGTTATTGCCATTAGACCGTTCCGGGTGCCAAAAATCGACCAAAATCTCGACAAAAATCAAAAAAAATTTTATCTTTAAAATTGATCTATTTTACGTTTTTTACATTCCTAGAGGTCTTAAAGACTCAAATAAGTGCATAAAACGACATTGGGTCAAGTTTCAAAAATTTTGAATTTTTTGAGTTTTTGAAGGTGAGCGCTAGTAAAATCGTAAAAATAGTCAATTTAC